TCCATTGTCTCTTGTGTGTGCGAATGGTAGAGGGACGAAGATAGGATGTCAGGGATGAGGCTCTTGTCTCAACACAGGGAGCAATTTATGTACCGGCAGTACATATCATGCGGGCTAATCCTTGTTCCCAGAAATTCCACTGTCCTTCAGTAATTTTGAAGTAATGATGGGCTATATCAAACAAGAGTGTAATCTGTCATTTTTCATTCCTTTTACTGATAAGTATTCCAGGAAAACAGGTTTTTTTAAAAAATCTTTTGAATAAATACTTCCTATTGACAAGATTGGGTTCTAATGCTTTCTTTCTTTTTTCTCACCAAGATGAATCAATACATTTTAAAATGCTACATAAATAACCATCTTTCTGTAATAACCTGCTTTTCCAGGAAGCCCTCCTGCAAATTGCTCTTTAAGTGTAATCCACTCAGACACACTTTTCTAAAGATGTGTTATATCATACATTGTGGTCCTTTGTGTATACCTTGCCTAGCCCCAGAGTCTAAGGGTATGTCTGCATGCCCTGGCAATTTTCTGCAAAAAGAAGAAATGAGCTCTCTGCCCTCGTCCTTCCTCCAGAATACCCCACTGCTTCTCTCTGTGGGCATGTCATGCCCACCCCAGGCCACCAAAAGATGTTCTGCTATGTGCCAAGCAGTCAAGCAACTGCCACACCATCCCTCTTGTGCACCAACTAACTCCTCCATGTCAACCATGTGGCCGCTGTTGCTTTTTCTCCTCACCCCACAATGTCTCGCTCTGAAGAAGTGCCCTATGTTGTGGCCTAGGATCCTTCCTAAATAAGGCACTGGGGGTGAATTGGCCTCAAAAAGCACTTTGGGGAGAAAAATCTTGCTTTAAGTTTAACAGTCCAACTGCTGCTAAACTTAAACCTTCTCTGTTGCCTTTGGAGCAAAGTGGTGGCATTGCAGGGGCTGTCTGAGGGGACCTGCTGCTGCCAACGATCCCTGCAGCAATGCCTCCTATTCCCATGCTGCAGCCTTCCAAGATGCAAATTTATCCAAATAATAAAGTGATAGCAATAGCGAACTAGGCAGTGGTCACTGCTGACAGCTCCACAGCAGATTGGGGGGAACAGATGGGTCTGTGGGTGTGGGGTGGCAACATGGACAAGCTGGGGTGGGGGTGGGGTGTCCATTGCCTGAAACCAAAGACTTACTGTGGCCAATCCTGCTCATAGCTAGGCACATTGACTGGCTTTCCCCAGCCCCAGGAGTGGCTGGCATGGTGAAATGGAGTTGTGCTATCACCCTCCCGACTGCAGAGTTGTCCTTCCTGCTTAGCAACAGAGTCAGCCTGCCCACAAGGCAGACGGAAGCAGCCTCTTGGGGCAGTGGACTCCTGTGGGGTGGTGTCACTGCCACTGAGGTCACACAGTTTTGGCAACAGACTCCAGTGAGATCTCGCCAGAAGCCACGGTGACAAAGCCGCACAACCTTGGTGAGACAGGCTTTGGTGGGTGGTGGGGAGGGGGCAGTGGCACCTTTGTGTTTTGCCTGGCACCATAGCTGTCAACTTTCAGATTTGAAAATAAGGGATCATCAGCCTCACCTGTCCCGTGGACAGTCTACGGGATATCTAACAATCCGGGATAGCAGCAGGAAGCAGGGAGGAAACGGCACTGGAATAAGGGAATTTCCCGCAAAAAAAGAGGGAAGGTTGACAGCCATGCCTGGCACAGCAAAAAGGGATGATCCATGGGGGATGGGAAGGGTAGCGTCAAGGTCAGGGCTGTACACTGGTTGAAGCAAGCTGAGAAAGCCCCAACCTTGCTGCTGCCCTGTCCTGCCTGCCTTTCCTGCCTTGATTCTCTCCCAGTTAAGAGGCGGTGATCCTGCTGTTCGGTGGGTGGCAACTTGGCACCTCTCCAGATCCCATTTGTCTGAATTCCAATAGTGAGGATTGAAATAGAATTCCCATGTAGAGATCTGAATTCCATGCTATCCTTGCAACAAACCACACAGCACGTTAGGCTGTGTGATTATGACTGACTCCAAGCTCTCCAGTGAGCTGTTTGGCTGAGCTTCCGTATCACCCCTAAACAGCACCTTGTCCTCAGCAGCAGCTCTGAAAATGGCATGAAGGCAGCATGCAGAATATACAAATTTCTACACCATCCCCAATTCCCCTGTTAAGTTTGGAATGGATGTTTAAAAGCGCCTTTCTTGCTTTGGCATCAGATTAATAATTGAACTGACAGAGATCTCAGAGTAATCCATCTTCTTATGAAGTCACTCCCAAATTTCACCAAAACAAAATTCAAGGAGAATTTGCAGTATTCCACTCAGGTGAAAAGGGAGGCGGGTGGCGCTGTGGGTTAAACCACAGAGTCTAGGATCAGAAGGTCAGTGGTTCGAATCCCTGCAACGGGGTGAGCTCCCGTTACTCGGTCCCTGCTCCTGCCAACCTAGCAGTTCGAAAGCACATCAAAGTGCAAGTAGATAAATAGGTACCGCTCCGGCGGGAAGGTATACGGCATTTCCGTGCACTGCTCTGGTTCGCCAGAAGCGGCTTAGTCATGCTGTACGCTGGCTCCCTCGGCTAATAAAGTGAGATGAGCGCCGCAACCTCAGAGTCGGCCATGACTGGACCTAATGGTCAGGGGTCCCTTTACCTTTACCTTACTCAGGTGAAACCCTGCAACTTTAGGTGGAATATTGGTCAGTAATCTAATGGAAAATTCAAACAAGTTTCAAAAAGTTTTGTGAAATTTCTCACGAGGGATTTGCACATCTCATAGGCTACTAGATTTTTTGTGGGCTGCTAATGTGCGCACACACACAAACCTAGCATGGGACCAAGGCTGCCCAGACCTCCCTGTGGCTGCTATTTACATAACAAACATACACTCATCAGGCGCATTCACAGTTAACTTCATGCCTAGCTTGGCTCTCAGATGGCATCCAGATTCAATAAAGGCAAGAGCTTAAAGGTTCCAGTGCATGGTGTGCTTCTCTGAATTGGAAAAAAAAAATGTTTCTGTTGGCTGGTGTCCTAGAAACAGCAATAGCTGTGAAGGTGCTGTGTGGATTTTATGAGCTGCTTCTCAAAATCCAGTGCAGCCACAATGTCTGTTACGCTGAGGAGGATTGAGGTTCAGGGATTCATGGTTTTCACACACAAAAGGCTGACTAAAAAACCCACAGCGACCACCACCAAGTGGTATGCCAAACCTTGCTCCCACCTTTGATGCCCCCTTCTCATCATGCTCCTGTTGGATGTGACATATCCCTTTTGCTGCTTTCCATGGGCTTCTTTATGAGATCTCAGTGCCAGGATGTGACTTCCAGCAACAAGAACCAAGGAGGGAAGGATATTCTGCTGTTCTGTGAAATATATTCAGCTGAGTTCCTTGGCTGTTTAGAATCCTAATGCGACACTCAGGCAACATCTTCCAGCCACCGAGCATTGTGGAACAGATTGTGTGCTCCATCCCTAGCGGGAAGATTTATGGGATTCTATTTTTAGGATTTAAAGATTTTTTATTTTATTTTTCTGCATCTCTGTGCTGTTCATTTGGCCAAACTGTAATATGCTAATTAAACCTTACGACCTGAATGATAAAATGCTTAGGGAGGCTCACTAAGTGCCCAGTTGGATGAACATTACACTAATCTTGTGGAGTCCCCTTGCCCCCATATAAAGCATCTTGCATTCTGAAGCAAATGTATTGCTGAATTGCTAAATTCACATTTCTTCCTGTTAGGGCTGAACATTCCATCTAGAGCCCCCCCCTCCAACATTCAACTTCTGATTGGGGGGGGGGTCCCTTCTTGGATGGGTCAAATTCATACTATTCACTGTCTTTCTGATGTCGAGGGGTGAGTGCCTTCGCTTATGTAGTGAAAACTGCAATGGCCACCATAAGAGAAAAATACTGGTAAGCTTGGGGGGAAACCAAAATGTACAAAAAATGCAGATGTACAAACAATCAATTGGGGGGGGGAGAACTCCTCCCCACAAGCAGCCCAGTGAGAACTGAGCTTATCTAGTGACTACACAGTATACAGACATGGTTGGGGCAGGGTGGGGACGGAAAACTGGGGCGGAGAGGGGGTGCAATGGAGTAGCCTCAGGCTCCACTTGTCCTCCAGCTCTTCACTGATGATCGAGCTGCTCAGTCCTCCGGCTCCTCTTCTCATATCATGGGTCACTTCCTGAGTCAGGCTTGCTTATATAATGTTTAAACTAGACTTTCTGTGCTGGAGGATGCCATATCAGTTATTGGGATGAAAAAATTGTAATACAGAATTGCACAACAGCATGCTGATGCCACTGATTTTAGTAGCCATTTTCAGTAAATACACTTTGAACACTTTGAAGCAGTGAATAAAAGAGCTGAAAAGTGATGCCCTGTTTTGCAAACAATGAACATGAATTTAAACATCAGGAAGAACTTTTTTTATGGTAAGAGCTGTTTGATAATGGAATGGGCTCTCCTTCATTGGAGGTTTTCAAGCAGAGGTTGGATGGCCTTCTGTATGATTTAGTTGGGATTCCTGCATTGCAGGGGGTTGGACTAGATGACCCTCGGGCTCCCTTCCAACTCTACAATTCTATGAAGTTAGTAATTCCATCATTCTGCTCTTGTTATTTCAGAAATGCAGATGTTTATGATTACACCTTGTTACAAATAACACTGAGAACTTCATTGTGAGTCCCACAGCAAAGAAAATTGGACTGTCTAGTATTGTGGCTAATTCCCCTGAGGCTGAGGCCAACTTCATAGGATCTATTTTTGAGGATGTGTAAAAGTAAGGTGTGAAGAGGTCCAGTGTGTTTGCAAACATATTAATTGTACAGGCACATTTATCAGAGAGATATGGCTTCCTATCTGGATTTGCCTCTGCATAATGTCTCCAGTGCCTCAGTGGGAGACTTCTTAGGACTCCATGTGCATGGCCAGAAGGGCCTTAGGGGACACAGATATCACACAAGACATGCTAGAGCTCAACCCTGCTCTGCGCATGCATTAGATCACAGCCAGAATAGCTCAGTCGGTAGAGCATGAGACTCTTAATCTCATGGTTGTGGGCTTGAGTCCTGCATTGAAGAGTAGGGGTTGGACTAGATCTGGATCCATTTTAGATCTGGTCCTAACCAATGTTGATGACCTGGTTAGTGGGGTAGAAGTGGAAGGATCATTAGGCGCGAGTGATCATGCTCTTCTGAAGTTTACTATACAGCGGAAAGGAGCAGCCAAGCATACTAGGACTCAATTTCTTGACTTTAAGAAAGCTGACTTCATAAAACTTAGGGAAGTGCTGGGTGAGATCCCATGGACAGTAATACTAAAAGGAAAGGGAGTTCATGATGGCTGGGAGTTTGTTAAGAGGGAGATACTAAAAGCACAACGTCAGGCAATACCAATGAGACAGAAACATGGAAGCTGCCTAAAGAAGCCAGGGTGGCTATCTAAAGAACTTTTAACTGAGTTAAGATTAAAAAAGGATGCGTACAAAAATGGAAAAGGGGGAAAACCACCAAAGAGGAATTCAAACAAATAGCCAGCACGTGTAGAAACAAAGTCAGAAAAGCTAAAGCACAGAATGAACTCAGGCTTGCTAGAGAGGTTAAAAGCAACAAAAAAAGAACAAAGAAACAGTGGGGTCACTCAGAGGAGAAGATGGTGAAATGCAAACAGGGGACACAGAAAGAGCTGAACTCCTCAATGCCTTCTTTGCCTCAGTCTTCTCCGATAAAGAAAACAATGCCCGACCTGAAGAATTTGGAGCAAATGATTCAGCAAAGGAAACACAGCCCAGAATAACTAAGGAGATAGTACAAGAATACTTGGCTAGTTTAGATGTATTCAAGTCTCCAGGGCCAGATGAACTGCATCCAAGAGTATTAAAAGAACTGGGTGATGTGATCTCAGAACCACTGGCAGTCATCTTTGAGAATTCCTGGAGAACAGGCGAAGTCCCGGCAGACTGGAGGAGGGCAAATGTTGTCCCTATTTTCAAAAGGGGAAAAGAGAGGACCCAAATAATTACCGCCCAGTCAGTCTGACATCAATACCAGGGAAGATTCTGGAGCAGATCATTAAGCAAACAGTCTGTGAGCACCTAGAAAGGAATGCTGTGATCACCAATAGTCAGCATGGATTTCTGAAAAATAAGTCATGTCAGACTAACCTGATCTCGTTTTTGACAGAATTACAAGCCTGGTAGATGAAGGGAACGCAGTGGATGTAGCCTACCTTGATTTCAGCAAGGCATTTGACAAGGTGCCTCATGATATTCTTGTAAAGAAGCTGGTAAAATGCGGTCTTGACTATGCTACCACTCAGTGGATTTGTAACTGGCTGACTGACCGAACCCAAAGGGTGCTCATCAATGGTTCCTCTTCATCCTGGAGAAGAGTTACTAGTGGGGTGCCACAGGGTTCTGTCTTGGGCCCGGTCTTATTCAACATCTTTATCAACGACTTGGATGATGGACTCAAGGGCATCCTGATCAAATTTGCAGATGACACCAAATTGGGAGGGGTGGCTAACACCCCAGAGGACAGGATCACACTTCAAAACGACCTTGACAGATTAGAGAACTGGGCCAAAACAAGCAAGATGAATCTTAACAGGGAGAAATGTAAAGTATTGCACTTGGGGGAAAAAAATGAGAGGCACAAATACAAGATGGGGGACACCTGGCTTGAGAGCAGTACATGTGAAATGGATCTAGGAGTCTTGGTTGACCACAAACTTGACATGAGCCAATAGTGTGACGCGGCAGCTAAAAAAGCCAATGCAATTCTGGGCTGCATCAATAGGAGTATAGCATCTAGATCAAGGGAAGTAATAGTGCCACTGTATTCTGCTCTGGTCAGACCTCACCTGGAGTACTGTGTCCAGTTCTGGGCACCACAGTTCAAGAAGGACATTGACAAACTGGAACGTGTCCAGAGGAGGGCAACCAAAATGGTCAAAGGCCTGGAAACGATGCCTTATGAGGAAGGGCTAAGGGAGCTGGGCATGTTTAGCCTGGAGAAGAGGAGGTTAAGGGGTGATATGATAGCCATGTTCAAATATATAAAAGGATGTCACATAGAGGAGGGAGAAAGGTTGTTTTCTGCTGCTCCAGAGAAGCGGACACGGAGCAATGGATCCAAACTACAAGAAAGAAGATTCCACCTAAACATTAGGAAGAACTTCCTGACAGTAAGAGCTGTTCGACAGTGGAATTTGCTGCCAAGGAGTGTGGTGGAGTCTCCTTCTTTGGAGGTCTTTAAGCAGAGGCTTGACAACCATATGTCAGGAGTGCTCTGATGGTGTTTCCTGCTTGGCAGGGGGTTGGACTCGATGGCCCTTGTGGTCTCTTCCAACTCTATGATTCTATGACTAGATGACCCTCGGGGTCCCTTCCAACTCTACAATGCTAAAATTCCTCTATGTTTTATGTGCACTAAATAGGTAGGCCAGCAAATGACAACCGCCATATCTGGATGTGGGTATAAGGACAAGTCTAAAATGATTGGACCAGAAAGCTTGGTAAAAACTTTCTGGGAAATGATATATAATGATTTGGGGGAAAATGTTGAAAATAACCTTTTCTAAGAAACCAGAAGCTTTCCTTTTAGGAATTTTAGGTGCAGAGATCCCGAAGGACCAGAAGAAATTATTCATGTATTCAACCACAGCTGCCTGAATGTTGCTGGCCCAGAGATGGAAAGAAAATACAGTTCCGACCAAGGAGGAGTGGCAGGTAAAACAAAACTATGCTGAATTTGCAAAACTTACAGGAAGAATCAGGAGCCAGGAAGAATCAAACTTTAACAAAGAATGGGGCAAGTATAAAACATATTTGAAAAATTATTGTAAACAATTACACTTATTAGTAGGTCTGACCGAAGACTTGTAGCAAAAATCCATACAAATGGACTGATTAAGGATTTATAATAGTTGGAGTTAGTGATAAAATGCATAAGGATCCACAAAGGGGGTCAAAGGGGATATGATATCTGTGGTGTTGTTGTTGCTGCTGCTGTTGTTGTTATGGTTTGTAAAATGGAAAATGCAAAAATAAAAATTTAAAATGATCTGACCATGTTTCAGAAATCCAGCAGACACAGAAATCCAGCGGTTCGCTCTTTCTGGTCCCACAGTATACAATGGGAGAGAGTTAAAACACATTAATTATAAGCTTCCGTCAAAACCAGCAGGGCTTAAAAAATGCACCTTTGACTGGATTATGCCTGTAACTCTCAGAAGAGAAAGTGGGGACCCTGTATATCCGTGGCACCAGAGAGCCCAGTTCCCTCTGCCCCATGGAGCATTTGATCCCAGCTCTATAGAGGAATATGTATGCTGTGGCTGCATTACCCACATCAGTACTTTTAGCACTTCAAGCACTATAATCTGCACAGTAATATAAACATCCCCCTCTCCATCTGGTAGCTGGGCATACCTTCCTGCAGTGGTTGAAATAATAGCCTATTTTGTCTTCTTCTTTTTCAGTGTAGTGCCTTATTTTCTATTCCAAGTCATACTGGTTGCTTAGGGCATAATTGTTTGCTTTGCTCTTCAGTGCTGCCAGTTATTTTACAAAAACCCCAAAAAACCCAATAAAGCTCACTATCTCAGAGATCGGTATAATGCAGAGGTACTGATGGGATTCATTTTTACGAGAGCTTTCGCATTAAAAGCCCATTCATACAGTTGGTTACTAAGCCACGGAATATTCTGTTTGTTCCATGGAGATCAGAGTTTTGCAGAAGTTCCTGACATTACATTTTTAAAAGCCTGCTTGAACAACCAGAGAGTTGGTGGTAAGAATGTGCTCTGTGAATGACAATTTCCTTGATCAAATTTGCTTCTGACATTATTTGCTTCTGAAGCAGAATACTTATTTGCATTGCTGTCATTGCAGAAAAGGAGAGGGTGGGCAGTTATTTCTGCCCATACAAACCAGGCTGTGCAGCGACTTCTGGAACAGATTAAATATGCAGAGTTTTTGACAAATGGGCATGTGATCAAAATTGCATTGATCTTTGTGTTAGCTAGAGTATGGTGAGGTTGTGGCCCTCACTTCAATCAAAAGGAACCAGTGAGGCCCTTCCGTATGAAGGCTGTCCTCAATTCTGCACTGGGACTCGTAAAATACATAAATTCAGCTCACAGCTGGAATATTGCAGGTGGCTTTTGATTATACTCTATTCAAATAGCAGTGAATCCCAGTGATTCCAGCTGGCACAGGGGCTTTGAAAATCTAAATAGTGAACAATAGATCCTCTAGTAATCCTGCTTAAATTTTGCTGACTGTCTCAAAGTTGAACTCTGTCACACTGTCAGGAGAGCAGGTAACAGATGTAAAAAATCCATCCTTTCTTGGGCTCATTTTAATGGCTTTTTACTTTGGATTCTGGAGGCAGTCTTCCTGAGGAAAAAGTTCCCGTTTAATTAGCCCAACTTGCCACCTGTGGGGAGAGTCTGCTGCAAGGCTGCTCCAGGTCACCCTGGCTGGGCAGAAATCCACTCAGTTGCTGCCTCATTTCCCAGTGCTGGGGGAAATGGGCCCAAGGCCTGGATTGGATAAAGGGCGAGGGGGGATCCCGGCTTTGCTGTATGAAAACTGGCCTTTGATCTGATTCAACGGAAGGTTTTGTTGCCATAACCACATATGCCAGGATGCAGCTTGCTGGTGGGGTCCAGGACTCTAATGGCTTTGTTCTCAAAGGCTCCTTCATTCCTTAAAGTGCAATTTTTAACATAAAAGGGGTTCTGTCCAGCTTTGTTATCTCTTAATAAAGTACCTGCATTTATTTGTTGGTGTTGCTTATTAGGGTTCATCCACACTTGCCTTTCCTCAGTTTAAAGCTCTTTGCCAGAGTGCCCCCTTTTTTTGTCTCAGCACTTTCCTTGCAAAAACCCGTTCCTTAACGCTGAATTGAAGCAAACAGGAATCTGTGGAAAATCTGAATTGCCATTTGTCCAGCATTAAAGACCAGGTTTTCCTGGTGGAAGCAGTAAGGGGGGGGAGTGCTTGGACACAGGCTGTGCCTAGACAGGTAAGTGTGCATCAGCCCTTACAGGAACCGTTGCCTCTAAATCTGCTGCCTGGCTTCTTGGTTATTAGTACTGAGTAACGTCTAGGCTTGGGGCTCAGAAGACAAGAAGTGGATCTTTGGCTCTTGGTGAATCACAAGGGTGTCCAGAAACATATCTAAGTGTTCCTGCCTCAGGTCTGGGGGACTTTTCAGGGGTGGGGGCAGTCCTACTGAGCAGGGTTAGTTTACCTTGGGCATCGTCTGGCTAGGTTGTAGCGCTGGAAAATTAGCACTGGGCAGACCTGTTCCTTTGTTGCATGCTAGCAGGGGTGAGGGAAAGATAAGGGAACTCTCACCCACATGTTTTCACTAATCTCATTCTTCACATAATGAAACCCCATCACAGAAAAGTGTTTTCTCCAGCACAACACCTGTGAGACCATCTGGTAGTGCAGAAGTCTTCACCTGCTGCTGGAGGTTGTTGCCAAAAGCTACAGTTGATCTGGAGCTGGAGCTGTGGCAAGGGTGGAGAAGGCTGAACATGATGTTGCCTTGCCAAGGCAAGGGCAAGTGGTCACAGTACTGGGTTTATATCAGGACTGTCCTGTCAGAAGCTTCATAGCAAGAAGCTTCATAGCACCTGTCAGTCTCATGGCTCAATGTTTCACACTCCATTTCCTTGAGGCCTGCATATGTGAGAGCCAAAGTAGCTGACTTGGCCAAGGCCACAGGCTCAGACTCTTGGTTCAGTGCTGTCCCTCATTCAGCATGGCCTAATGCCAATGCCACAAGGGTTCTTGGTTTTCAGGGCCAGTGTCTCATTGAAATTCACCTTCTAGAGCACCAGCAGATGATGCTCTGAATGTCTCCTCCAGATCTGCTCCACTGTAGCATCAAGGCCATTTTTAATTAATAATAAAAAGGCCATTGTGTTGGCCACTGGAGACTGTCAATATAAGGTTCATTTATTTATTGCATTTATCTTAGTGATGTGCTTGAGACAAACATCAAAAATCAACATTGCACAGTTATACCAAATTAATATAAAATAATCAAAATTAATATAAAGGCTTCAGTTGGGATAGCAGTCATAACCATATGATAGAATATTGAGGTCTGTCCTTGGGCTGTCTCTGGCTCTTCTGCTTGTGTCTGAAGATGCCCAGCACTCATGGGAGAAATGATAACTGGCCTCAACCCTTCCCTCTGTTGCTAAAAGTTGATGTTCCATTAAGATAAGGACCTTGGGCAGCATTGAGTGGCCTGTGTCATTTAAAGCCAGCATTTAAATCAAGGATGGCCATTTGGTAGTGTTGGAGCAGCATAAGACCTGCAAAATTATTTTGTCCAGCCTTCACAATTTTTTATAATGCTGGTTTCAGGCTGACCTATCGGACTTAGATGAAAAGTGGAAATAGAGTTCCCACCAAAATTTCACTAAAGCAAAATATGGAAGCTTCTTCTCAAGCAGAACATATGAGTGATTTGGAGGCAATCCAAAATAATTTCCATTAGTCTGGGGAAATAAGTTTTAGATTCTGGTAACTTTGATCCTGAACTTGGTCATTGCTACTAATCTTCCTGTATAACCAGTTCCCAAGGTGAAGGGGGTATCTGAATGTATTTTGGCTGTATTCTCAGTTCTTATTGGATAATAAGAAGGCCAAAGTGGCCTGGAAAGCAGGGCTGGAAAGTCCTAAGTGGGGCACAGTGACAGAGCTGCCTCAGTCAGAATTATTATTATTATTATTAATTTTATTATTTATACCCTGCCCATCTGGGCAGCTTCTAACACATATAAAACCACAATAAAACGCATACAAAACTTCCTGATACAGCGCTGCCTTCAGGTGTCTTTGGAAAGTTGTGTCGTTCTTCATCTCCTTGGCACCTGCTGAGAGGGTGTTCCACAGGGCAGGCATGACTACCAAGAAGGCCTTCTGCCTGGTTCCCTGTAACCTCACTTCTCGCAGTGAGGGAACTGCCAGAAAACCCATGGAGCTGGACCTCAGTGTCCAGGCTGAATGATGGAGGCGGAGATGCTCCTTCAGGTATACAGGGCTGAGGCCATTTAGGGCTTTAAAGGTCAACACCAACACTTTGAATTGTGCTCAGAAACGTACTGGGAGCCAGTACAGATCCCTTAGGGCTGGTGTTATTGACTATTTCCCAGCACCTTTCCAAAGGAGCCCAGAGAGGTACAAGAATGGCTCTGATGGTAGATTCAGGGGGTGGTGCTCAACAGTTCTGATGGTTTCTCTCTCTCTCTCTCTCTCTCTCTCTCTCTCTCTCTGTGTGTGTGTGTGTGTGAGAGAGAGAGAGAGAGAGAGAGAAAGAGAATCCCAGTGCACAGTCAATCTGTCTATTCACTTAAGGTGTACATTTAAAGGGAGGGAAATATACAACTGAGGCTGCAAATTTGCTTTACTTCTAGCTTTTCTGCAAGACAGCTGCAAGAAAAAAAGCAAGATAAACAAGAAACTCAATCCAGACTGTTTTCTTCCTGAGCAGTTGCCAACTGCAGTCTAAATGAACGGTATGTTCTCCCTCGAAGATGCCCCAGAGTTCTTTGCAGCACAGAATCATTTTGCTGCAGACACTTGGGGATCTCTTGGCAGCCTGGTTGATCTGGAAAGTGCACCCTGAAGGTTGAAACTTTAAAAAGAAAAGCATTGCCTTGTACAAAGAGAGTGCCCTGCAGGTTTCATGAGGTCTGTTGCCGACAGTTTGCAATATGCAGGTCCTTTCTTTTGTAAAATGAACAACACAGTCTAGCCTTCCCACAGTTAACAGTGTTTGGAAATTGACATTAGCTGGATTTATAACATGATTGTTTTGCTTTTAATCCCATCACTGCAACAGAATCCTAGTGTTTGAGGTCCCCCCCACACTTCTTTTGAAGATTTATAGTGCTTTGTCTGGAAGTTTGTAGTGCTCACCTCAGAACAAGAGGGTGTTTCTAGATTCCGTTACAGTATTTCAAAGAACTTGTCAAATGTTGCTACATGATCCCCATGAATTTTCATGGAGTCCTGGCATTATAGGAACAAGACAGATTTCTGCCTTAATTTATTGCATTGCTCCCCTCCGTAAAAACATCTAAGCAATGAGAACACAACAGTGGTGCCACAAGTACAGTACATAGCAAAATGCAGACTAATTAACTGATGTGAAGACTTCACTGTGGTTAGTTGTCCTGGAGTCAGGAGAAAAGATGTCACTGACTTGAGTGAAAATAGAAGCTAACCACTTTTTGCCTGAAGAAAAATAACTGACTTCTTCCCCTTAAATTCTGCTGTTCAAATATTTTGCATTAACTGAGATATTAAATGTCTTCTCAGTTGTCTGGATAAGGCAGAATAATTGGGGTAGCAGACAGCAAGGACTCTAGGCTCTATGGACCATTGAAGATTAGCGATTGATCCTTCAAAATTATGTCCTCCTACACCTTCTCTTATTTCACACTTCTGACCAAAAAAGTGAAGTAGCTGGATGATATGCAGCAAAATTATCAAATGCAGTAGAGAAGACTAATGTCTGAGTGTGAATGAAAACATTTTAAAGCCCTCCAGTTGGTAGAAGATAAAAAATGCCTCAATCACTCCCACTCCTTCTCAACATTCAACTCAGTGAACAGGAGTGAGACCTCCCTCCTACCCCAGTTAGCAGTTTGGCCAGGAACAGTTGCTTCTCCAAATGAATTTATCAGCCATGGATTGGGGAAAAACAGACAGCACTGTTTCTTTTGTCCTGGAAAATGTGCCTGTGGGGTGAGCTATAAGAAGACTTGTTTTGGCACAGGCATGGCATCAGAATTTGCATGTGACTGCATGCAGAGACATAGGAAGCTGTCTTTTATCAAGTCAGACCTTTAGTGGAAACTGCGGGGTGGTGGTGGTGGTCCAGCTGATGGGTTTCCCATAGGCACCTGGTTGTTTACTGTGAGAACAGGAGGCTAGACTAGATCTGGTGTCCACCTGAGCACAGGCACCCTCTTTGATCTAAACAAGGCATGTCCAATAGTGGGGAAAATGTCAATAGTGGGGGGAAAGCTCAACAACTTTGGTGAAGGCTCCCCCCAAAAAGCTCAACAACTTTGGTCAATCCAATGGGTAGATCACTGTCAGTTTTTTTTATAGTGGGAGTAGATCACAGTCTCTAGGGAGTTGGACATGCCTGATCTTAACCATGTATTTTGTAATCTAGAAGTATATTTTCCTGACTTATTTCATTGCTACGTTTGGCTTGAATCGAGTCAGCAACTTTATGTAAGTACACAATATTTTTCTATTCTTACACTACAGGCTTCTGTATTGTTATTTTGTTTAGGGGGATAAATAAAGGGAACGATCCAGTCTTCCAAAGGCATCCTGGATAATTAGAGAAAGCTTCACAGCTTTGTCCCATGTTTCCATGTTAATGCTGCAAGGGGTGGTATACGTTTAACTCTGTTAACTAGACATTAATCTCACAGAAGTGAGCGAAAGGAAGGATAGCTAATAAATAGCACACCCTATCCTACCTTCCACGTCCATCTCAACACCTGGAGATGCTGGTGATTGAATTTGGGACCTTCTGAATGCAAAGCAGTTCCTCCGCTTTCCTTCCCATGCTGTGCAGCGGCAGAGATTGCCCCACAGCCATGCTGCTGCTGTGCAAAGCAAAACTGGGACAGGAGAGAGTGCTAGTGGGATCTGCAGGTTATCCTACATGCAGCCCCCAAGAGGCATTAGTCCATCGCAAAGCCAGATGTAGAAAGTAAGTACAGTGGGGTTGTAACTGACATGTAGCATAGCGCATGGTCCACAATCTAAGGCTTTGTTTTTCTGTCAGTAGTATTATATGCAGAAGAAAAATCTTCCTGCATCAGAACAGTGGGGGTTGCTACGGTTCTTGAAGCACTCAGTTGCGTCAACAAGTTAGAAAAAGTAAACTGGTCTCAAGAAATCAGACAGAAAGGAAGATTCTGGAATATGAGAGCAGCTGTGCAGGACCAGGCACAGGGCCTATCAAGTCCAGCACCCTGCTTCCCACAGTGGCCTCCAGACGCAGAATGAAGCCCACAAAGAGGGTTTGAGGCCAGTGATGCTTTTCTGTTGTTTGTCTCCTTTAGCACATAGACTGACTCTGAACCTGGAATAGGAAAGACACCTGGCAATTGATTCTTAGGTGGAACCTCCAGGTTCAGAGGAAGCCTGCCTTGGAATATGCTGAAGTTAGGGAGACAAACACGAGAAAAGAGCTTAATAAATCTCCCCCTCTCCCCAAGCAGCCCTTGTGTTCAACAGAAGCCTCCAGAATTCTCTTTTCTCCCCATCCCTCCCAATATTATTATCAGTAGTCTGGCATAATTTAAGGTTGCCATATTTCAAAAGGTGAAAATCAGAACATACAAAAAAAGACCCCCCCCCATAGCTGCAAGCTAGATAGGTAAGTGGGCATGGTTGTGGTTTGCAGACTTGAAAGAGTAAACTGCCACAATGCACAGTTCTGACTGGCTTAGGTAGGATACCTGCATGTTTGCTTGGAGCTTCATCAACCTCATGAACCCCAAAATTTTGAATCCTGGAGGGGATCTGAAATTTTGGGGTTCATAGTTAATGAAGCTCTTCCTTGGCCTCTGAGAAAGAGAGAGAGAGAAGCATGACAAACACCCCTTTAAACAAACGTTTTGCTGATGATTTAATTATTTGTTTGTAAAACATTTGGGGAGGGGCGAAGAAAAGTTAGGGAGGCAAGCCCCCCATCTCACCTCACCCCATCCCAGTCATGCTATGGGCTTGCTGACTGCCTCTGACTCAAGGAATGTGTTCACCTCACCATGTTGTTATTGTTTAGTCGTGTCCGACTCTTCGTGACCCCATGGACCAGAGCACACCAGGCGCGCCTGTCTTCCACTGCCTCCCGCAGTTTCAATGCGCCAACCCACAGCATCTACCCTCTCACCACAATACCAAGCAGAATAATGGCACACATGGTTGCAATCTTCTCAACGCTGGGTGAGGGGCGGGGGGCCGGGGGGACGATGACACACACAATTCTGCCTTAGCCCCATCTAATGATCATAACACAATACCATTTTGTGTTTTGTTTTGTTTTTTAATGTGGAGAGATGTTAGTCTTTAATGACCACTGGGCTCTCTTCCAACCCTACAATTGCATGATTGTATGTCTGCTGCAACAGACTAACAGCTATTTATAGGCCACTTTTCATGCCTACAAAGCGATGCTAGGCCAAGTTACAACTTTAAATCCTTAAAAACATAATATTGAAGCAAGGAGGTTAGCAGGGTGAAAACAACAGCTATTTTATTTCAAATAGAGAAACAACTTTTTTTTTTAAGGGAGTGCCTCCTCATGTGGAATTCCTTATGGGACCCTTTCAAAACCTCATGATTAGAAACCTTGCTTGTTTATTTGTTTAGAACAAGTAGAGCGTGTAAGAAATGTTGCAGTGAGTGTGCTCCTGTTCAGAGTTCCAGCCACCCACCCATGCCCTTTTCCAGGATAATCTATTTTATTTCCCCTTCCTGCTGTTTTTCTGCCCCTCCCGCCCCCCCCCCAGCCAGCCAGCATTCTCTGGCCAATAAACATGGTCCTCACTGCCTGTCTTTGGTGTCTCCAGTCCTTTAGGATTCCCCCCATTCACCCCAGAGGCACCAACTTGAATAAAATATGGGGGCGTGGGCTGCAGGACTTACCTGCCCCGATCCTATGCACCTTATGCCTCTAGCTTGCCTGCCCCCTCTTCCTTTCTTATGGGCCTCATGTGGGATCCACAGACATTCTGAGAAAAGGTCAGTGAGAGATGTGTGCATGTATAAGAATGCTGTTTGAAGGTGCATAATGCAGAGTGACATTAAATGATACCATGGATGAAATGTTAGGGCTTAGATTGAAACATTTAAAAAGTAGGCCATGCTGGAAATAGACACAAATGGTACTGAGCAAAACATTGCAAGGAATGTTTTGACTGCGTAAAAATGTGCAAAAGTTTCCCCACTTCAAGGTGGTGGCATAATGGTTAGTGTTGGACTTGGACCAGGGAGACAAGGGTTCAAATCCTCATTCAGCCATGAAGCTCCCTGGGTGACCTTGGAGTCAGTCACCATCTCTTAGCCTTGAGGGGGTTGTTATGAGGATGAAATGGGCAAGGGAGAACCATGGCACAACCTTGATGATCCCTGGAAAATGAAAGATTGTATATAAATGAAAGGGGGAAAACCAGCAAAAGAAAATTTAGCATAAAATATTCTTGAAATTAAACACATTCTGAGGACCTAACTGCATGTCACATTAAGTGTGTAGTGTTCTCTGTGGGGTTTTTTTTTTTAAGCTGATATGGGGAGGGAGGCTATTTT